CTTGTATACATAAACTACACCAGATAACATTGTCAGTATAAACTACGATGACTAGGCTTGTATACATAAGTTGACAATTTACAATGTCAGTTTAAACTAAAACGAATGTAGGCTTTTACACATAAACTACACCAATCTGTTGATAATATTTTTGCTTTAATCGGTTTGGTGCCATGTAAGATTAACTTAAATATAACCGTACATTCCTGGTTCATAGATTATTGCTTAACTTCAATTACTATTATTCAGTCTATTCCTGTAACACCAATTATTCCTAATATGAATATATTGAAGAAGATAGGCAAAATGAAAATATTTATTGACAATCAATTAATTTTGGGCACACACATTCCTTGTGGTTCACTTGTGGGACTTTTCCACATTTTAAGAAGTCGCTTTATTTGGAAAATATGTTCATGACTTATCTGAAAAAGTCCTTCATAAGTAGCTGATAGTACATGGGTGGTGGGGCATATGTGCCATATATCTAACGATTTTAGCGTGAGACTCGCAAAAACATAACTTCAGAAAAATTCCTCACAGCGTGAGACACATTTCTCACAAAATTTCAGTCTGTCTCAGGTAAAGAACAAAGTTTGATCAATAAACACAACCAAATGGATTCACACTGACCATGGTCACTGAGAGGTCTTAAGTCACAGGTCATGAATAATTGTTTACCTCTGCATAGGGGGTCCCAGGCAAAAAACAATTGTGGGTGGTGGGTACCTCCCGGAATAGATAGTATCAGATGTACCCATCTCCATGTAGTTGTTCATTTCTGCTTCAAAGAACTAGTACACGTACCACAGTTTCTAGATGATTACCTTGAAACAAAGGCTATTAGTAGAGATATTTAATTGCAAATTTGTTCCATTAAAATGGTGATGAGTTGAAAGAAGGAGTTAAAGGATATATAAATGTTACTTTGTATTTGTAATACTGTGTATTTTCGTCCACAGTTACCGACAAGCCCAAGCCACTGTTCTACAAGGTATTCAACAGCTTCAAAAACTTGGAGTGAAAACAAAACGACCTGAGGACTATTTTGCACAAATGGCTAAATCTGATGATCATATGAAAATGGTATGCTGCAGAAATCATCTTTATTTACTCAGTAATAAACAGAAAGATCTTTGTATTGCATATTATCATATAATCTATGAAAAATGTTCCTTATGTTCAAACATATTTCCATGCAAAAGTCAGCAATGTGATGTATAATCAGATTTCTTAACCACTGGAATAAGACTCATCTCTAACATCATTGGATTTCTCAATATTTGTGTGCACATTTAAGAAATTTGGTGTTTAACTGAAGAAGGCATAATCTCTTTTTTTTTGTTTAAGCCATGCTCAAGGTGTATTCGTTCAAATAAGTCAAATTATATCGTTAGCCATACAGTTATTCACTCCCCAGTCTTTGCAAACTCTTTCAGCATGTGGGGTAGGAGACCAAACCACACACAAAGGAAGCAGCATACTCATTAAGAGCAGGATTTAAATTTACTTTGAGTCTACTATTTGATAGAGGGTTTAAGAGTTAAAAATTTAGATATCAAAATATGAGGCAAATGCGATTGTTTGACTGTATGGTAATGCATGATGCTTTTTTGCCATTTTTGCAATTTAATTTGCACAAAATCAATATCTCTCCAAATATTTCCAAAGCAAAAAAGGAATCCCATTGTAGCTGTTGTTGTTCAGTTTAAGAATTCAAGAATTTAAGAACTCTTTTAATGGAGCAATCATGAAAATTGGTATGTGAAAAAATTTAGCAATTCAAAGAAAAACTACCTGGTATATTTATATTACAGAGATTTTGTCACAATCTTTTCTTTAATATTATTCAATCATAGTCTTTAGCTGAGGTTGATACCTGGATTTAGCGACCAGAGTTAAAGGCTACAATTGTTCTCATTATTTTCAACAGTGATGTAAGTAATCTGGAAAAAAACACAACAAAAAGGCTATGGAAGTGCGTTCGTTTGGAGACACGTCATAATTCTATTTTAGAGACACCCAGTCATTCAACAAAAATTACGCGTTCCAAGAGAATATTAGTTTTTATCGGTGGACACATGATGCACTTCTGTCCAATTACTTGTCGGGAAAAATATGAAAAAATAAGTGATTATAAATTCACATTATATCTGTTCAAGCATATTGAATGATTTTATTATTGTAGGTGAGACAAAAATTACTGGAAAAACAGGTTTCCATGGAAATGTCTGAAAAAGCAAAGAAAATGAGAGAGTTACGCAAATACGGTAAAAAGGTAAGTTAAATACTATTACATGTACTGTGCTTTCAGTTCTTTTACCAAGCAGTGTAAAGTTTACACAGTTTTCAGACTGTCCATTACGAAAGACATTTGTAATATATTGCAAAATATTTGAAAACGTACTGATACATGTCCTGTGAATGTATTTATTTCCCCTTTATAAATCAAATGGTCTTCAGAAATAATTTCAGATTCAAGAAAGTTCAATTTATCTTGTGAAACAATGACTGGTTTCTATTCAATCCCCAGATCAGTTGTTAGTGAGAAGGTTTTTACGTAAAATTTGTACTGGTTTGACATTTTAGGTTCAACATGAAGTCTTACAGAAACGACAGAAGGAAAAGAGGGAGATGATGGATGCTGTCAAAAAATACAGAAAAGGTACAAGAACAGCAGTACTGTATGACAGATATAAATCATTGTATTATATTTAATGCCATTTTTTAAAGAAAAAGAAATTCATATTTTTTCCAATGTTATTTTTTCATTGTTACAAATCGGTACCCAAATATGATTTATTTTTGTTGGCATTCCAAATATTTGAAAAAAAATGTCTGTGACCTTCAAACAAGATGGTATGAAATCCAGGGCACTTTTCGCATAGCCGGTTCAACCGGTTTGTCTGTATTTAAATGTAACATTTTTGGGTATTAACCCTAGCGGACCTGCACATTTTTATTCCGGTCTTGTAAGGCTTGCCTGAAAGTAGCATCTGGTAACTAGGTCCGACCATATTTCATAAACGAACAACTCTGGTCCAACTGGTTCAACCGTTTGGATCACGATAAACGAATGCGGCCCAGGTATCAAACTTAAGGCTAGAGGTGTATTTGTAAGTGTTCTTGTTATGCCCAGTGAAACTATCAACAAGTGAAATTGGGGCGCAACAAAGGAACATTATATACCTCTGCCATTTTAAGAGGGTGAGAACATACTGTGTTACCCATATCGGTCCTGTATTCATTCAGTATTTTAGTTTTCCTTGATGGACTTTGATCGACCTTTTTATGGTTTAGGTACATCATGAAAATATCTTGAATGAGTTGGTATTTCAGGGTTCAAGGTCACTGTTCCTAATTATAGAAAATAATCAACCAGTTAAGTGTTGTGAGAGAGTTTAATCTTGAACAGATCTTGATCAAATTTAATGCAAAGTACCAGAATACATGGGTCACTTTACTATATATATATAAGAAATTGTCAAACATTTCTGTGCCATCGCTCTAGCAGCATCATTTTGTAGTGCATTTCGATCAAACTTTGTAAATTGCTAATGGCTTTGTTATTATTTATGAGATATTAATTTAACCCTTCATAGGAATTGTTTGTCACTGCTTTAGCGACTTCATCTCTTATCAGATATCTAATTAAACTTCATACAATTAATTTAAAAAGAGCCAGTAATTTTCAACTGAATTTATCAAGTATATTCATACCCAATTCCTTAGATAAAGTATTTAAGATTGCCAAGCTTAAATATTATTCTAGACGGAAAAATTGAACAAGGAAGTTGTGAGGACATTTTTGATGGATGTTTTTCTGGTATTATAAGGTCAAATGTTTGTGAACATAAGAGTAACTATAGAATTTAGTCTACTATACAATAGCATTGTTTGATATGTACCAGATTGTCAATCTCTAAATATATAGTACTCAAAATGAGATTAAACAGTTTGATATCGTAATTATACACAAAGTTTGTTATTATACTCGAACTGGTTTTGAAAACTAAATTGAAGAGCTTTTGAAAATGGCACCTGTTTTCTATGTTAAGCAAAGAATGCAAATGATCTGTGTCGACGTCTTTCCAATACTAAAGAGGTAAAACAGGTAAACATAAAGCCAACCCATCTGACCACCTGTATTATAGAGTGTGATCAAGGTGAAATGTGGTGACAGCTGTTTGTACCAACTCTTCACATTTAGTACAGGTATGTTGCTTTTAGCTGTTGTAGACCACAAGTCGCACCGGTCATTTGCACTCAGTGTTTTATTTTTTCCGAAGCTAACAATTTTTCTGAAGAGTTTGTTTAGAAAAATAATTGACTCTTTATTCGAAATTTACATCTGTTTTCAAACTACATTTCAATACTGTATAATTTACCAATAAATTTTCATTTCAAGGACAGAAAGATAAGCTGGACTTCCTCGACGACAAAGGGCCCCCAAATAAGAAACAGAAAACTGGACAAAAGCAGGAGTTCCAGTATGTAACTCATTTTGTATAAAAGATTAATATTGTATAGACTAAGAATGTTTTAATTATGTCTTCAGTGCTGTAATTAATTTTAAAACATTTGTAATAGTAAAACCACAAACCTAAACCATGGAAAATTGATCTATATTTACAAATGTTCAGCTGTATATATCAATTTTTCTGTTTTTCAGTGTCAACAAAAAAAGGGAATTTAAAAATCAGAAGTTTGGCTTTGGGGGTCAGAAGAAGAGATCAAAGATGAACACTGCTAAAAGTTCAGCTGACATGTCAGACTTCAACCCCAGTGTACACCAAACGAAACACAGCTACAAGTCAGGAGGAAAGAAATCAAATGCAAAAAAAGTATGTTGGAGCTGAGCTTAGTAGGAACTGTCACTTACAGAACATGATGTGGCGTCATCCTTAATCATTCTCAACCCTAACATAAAAATAAAACACAATGTACTATACATGTTCTTGAAACTATATAGTCAAGTCTCTAATGTTTAAACATTTGATATTTTAATTTCAGTTGTAGTATTTTGTATACAATTTATTAATGCTTCGTAATAAAGCAATAACTTTATGCTGTAATTAATGTGTACGCTAAAAATAATATCATTTCTTGTATATTTTGGGTTTGATTATTTAAAATGAGTTAAGTATTTTGAAATTTATTTTCCGACAAATTGTGCAGTCTTTCCTCTCCTTTTAAATTTCAGAAGGGACCAGCTAAGAGGCCTGGAAAGTCAAAGAGGCAGAATATGAAAAGCCGAAAGCGCTGAATCATGTTATTGTGTAAATAAATGTAAAATGTTGAAATTCAAGTTGTGATTTTTTTTATGCTTCAGTTTTAGATTGCTATACAAAAATATTTGCCTAGAAATATTTTGTAAAAGTTGAAATTTTCCTGTGTGGAAATATTTGCATTGTGACCTTTCAATGTATAGAGGATATTTAATGGTGTCTTCAGTAATAAATATATTTCACGAGTGTGGCTAATATTTTGATATTTTTCACTCGTACTGCGCACTCGTGAAAAATATCAAAATATTAACCACCCAAGTGAAATATATTTGTTATTACTGAAGACACCCTTAAATTTTCTATTTATTTCATTTTTAAAGTATAAAACATGAAAAATGTAATGCATTAAAAAAGGGCGGGAATCAGAAGCATAATATTTAGCGCCATATTCTAATGATGTCACGCTTGACAAGGCTGTGCATCATTTTGAATGGGATACTCAACACTATTCCGACGTTTTCTTCTATTTTCTGGTATGATTGCTTATACAAATGTTATTAATTGTTTATTTATGTAAATACTCGAGTGTGTGTACCAAACATTTACCATAACAACCACTTATTCTACCGTCGCTTCATTTGAATCTGAACAAAAAATTGTTGCCTTTGAATGCAGCGAATAGAAGATACCGTTATGATTGGTCAATACCAAAAATCACTTGATGTTTGTCACAGTGTGAAAGATATCGGTTTTATCAAGTTACGGTAATAGAATCCAATATTTCACTGGCAAACATGTAATAAATAGAGGTTACACAACGAGTGGTTGTTGAGTATGGTATTTATTTCACTCGAGTAAGTTAATTTTCAAAAGTTACAAAAGACACTAGCTTTAGCAAGTGTCTTTCTGTAACTTTTGAAAATTAACTAACAAGAGTGAAATTAATACCATACTCAACAACCACGAGTCGTGTGATCTGTTTCTACCACAATCTCATGATCAGTCGAAAATAACATACGCACATGTGTTTGTTGACAAGGCTGGCGTAGTGATATGACCCATATGTAAAAAGTCACTCATTAATATTCCAAAATGACTTCTTTTTTTTTACAAATTTAATTATTGTCAAAATTGATATTCCGCAACAACTTCATGAAAAAATAAAATAGATGAAAGACTTTAAATATTGAGAGTAGCAGTATTGCATTAATTTATATAAATTAACCACGAATTATATGCACGTAAGCATATCATACGAACTCTGCCAAGTGATGAACTCACCGTTGTAGACGAACTTATCGCCGTCAATATCCAAAACCATAGGCCTACGTTTCTTTGTGACGGTTCTATAGTTGACGTTTATAGTGAAAGTTCAGCCATAGTCAGACCGTCTAAATAGCGATAACGGGACGTTGGGAGAACGAAATATTTCCTGACGATCTTGTTTTGGTTTCATGACCTGGACATGCGACGGTGTGAGGTTGAAACGATATTGAGCGTCTGTAGCAATTTTGCCTGAAACTAGCGATCAAATCTTTAAGTATCATCTTTTAATATTGCCTTAATAACCCCCTTTTCCGCATAACCTCACAAAGTAACCAACATATTTATCTAACAGTCTGCATGTTTATACAATGATCCGAGAGTGGAATAACACAGCGTATTGTGGTAGAAATATATTTATATCTATTTATATATATTTGCATTTGGTTATTTTTGCACTAGTTTACCTGTCAGATGTGAAAAGATGTCCATGCTGCATTTATTTCCACTTTTACAGCATTTACCTGCACTCAAACAGCCACACCTGCACTCTAACAGACATACCTTCACTCAAACAGCCGTACCTGCACTCTAACAGCCAAACCAATTTCCTGACGATCTTGTTTTGGTTTCATGACCTGGACATGCGACGGTGTGAGGTTGAAACGATATTGAGCGTCTGTAGCAATTTTGCCTGAAACTAGCGATCAAATCTTTAAGTATCATCTTTTAATATTGCCTTAATAACCCCCTTTTCCGCATAACCTCACAAAGTAACCAACATATTTATCTAACAGTCTGCATGTTTATACAATGATCCGAGAGTGGAATAACACAGCGTATTGTGGTAGAAATATATTTATATCTATTTATATATATTTGCATTTGGTTATTTTTGCACTAGTTTACCTGTCAGATGTGAAAAGATGTCCATGCTGCATTTATTTCCACTTTTACAGCATTTACCTGCACTCAAACAGCCACACCTGCACTCTAACAGACATACCTTCACTCAAACAGCCGTACCTGCACTCTAACAGCCAAACCTGCACTAAAACAGTCATACCTGCACTAAAACAGCTATACCTTCACTCAAACAGCCATACCTGCTCTCAAACAACCATACCTGCTCTCAAACAGACACACTTGCACTTGGCTATATCTTTGCTAAAACAGCCATACCTGCTTTCAAACAGTCATACCTTCTCTAAAACAGCTGCTCTCAAACAGCTAAACCTGCACTCAAACATCCACACCTGCACTCGGAACAACTTTACCTTCACTCAAACAGCTGCTGCACTAAAACAGTCATACCTGCACTAAAACAGCCATACCTGCACTAAAACAGCTATACTTGCACTTAAACAGAAATACCTGCTCTCAATGTCTTTTGCTTGTATTTTTTTAGCAATCTTTCAAACATTTAAAAACACCTATTTTCTTTAATAGATAATATCTGATGTAAAACAAGAAAATTAAGCAAGACCACATTCAGTTATATAAAATATTTATTAAATGAGTTATTGTAAAATTATTAGACATATAAGAAAATAAACATTACAGATAGTATGTACTTATCACAAATATGCTAGATAGTAATTTTCTGTATATTTCATGATCTTATGAAATAAGTAAAAAAAACTTGCACATGATTATTGTAGATTGTGTAACTTTGACAGCTGACATTTATTTCACTTCAGTGCCATATTGAACTTTTCATATTTCTTCATACATGTGAAACATTTGATGGTATTTGAAACCTATGATGGGGCACAACTGCAAGTTGCATCACATTTATAAATATCCTGAATGTAAAAGGTGTTAAACATGAGTAAAACATTTTGGAGAATTGCAAACAAAGTGTCTCAAATCTCAATATAGTGCCACTCTGATGGTAGTGAGGTTTATCAGCAAGGCATTGATCGGTATTAAAGGCGTCACTAATTCATGTTCTCGGTTTGTTCCTTTACTCGCCACGCAGCATCCATATATTTTGTGATGGCAGTATTCTGGCGAAAGAAATTTATCCTTTTGTCAGATCTGTCTTGATCAATCTTAAAAGGAAAAAGAAATGAACAGTACATTAGAAAATGAAGCTAAACATTTGTGTTCTTGGTAAAAGAAATTTAAAAATACAACAGATTCATGTAATATATTTGGTTTTGCCTAAATTTTGAGTCTATTTTCAACTTTTACATCAGCTGGTTTTAAATTGGATATGTTCAGCTTGTCAGTAAACATCAAATAGTGATGCAAAAAAAATGTGGTGTAGTCTACATTTTGTTTTGACAACTTTCTATTACATTTTCTTTTATGATAATATTTCAACAGTACCGAATTTATTCCCATATCCCGTTGAAGCAAAATCATTGCATGGGATCACAAACATTTGATAAGAGATGTCTTGATACATGTTCCTGTTTTATATCTGCATCATTGCCGACTTAGGAACTAACTTCGAAACAAGGCTAGTGTTAACATTAAAACATAATTGAGGTATATCATTCCAAACAACAAACCAGAGGTTGAGTTATCCATCCATATTCTTGAGCTTCTGTTTGAGGAAAAGAATATTTCTTTACTGGTTCTTGATTTGCTCGTGCTATCACTTTTTTGAAATGTGCTGAAAATGTGAAATAATTTGGTTTAGAACAGTACAATATAAACTTGAAAACAGAAAGCACTCATAATCTGTATAACCTCATATGTACATACTGGTCACACACAGAATGTAAATAGTACTACAGTAACTGCAATTTTGATCTTTCAAGCATGTACATAAACTTCACAGTCCAATGCTGATGCAAATATACTTGAATACATTTATTAGCCTTCATCTGAACAAGTGACTTGCCAAATATCACTGTTTGGTATCATCATGGTTCTTCAGAAGTGGTTGATGTTTTAACACATATTCATTATCACTCATTAAAATATGCAGATGTTGGTCAAAATGCAATGTATGATTACACTGAATACCATGGTTCTGTGAAGGAGTTTTTAACGTGTCTGGCAGTTAAATGAACTGGTCATTCATTTGAATAAACTCAATACCATATCATCCCAACAGACGACAGTTCAAATATCATCACTAAAGTACCATGGCTCATAAAAGAAGTCTTCTAAAGTATGTATTATGTTATTTGGGCTGGTATGGGAAGTGTTTGTCCATCAATCAACAGTTTAGCTAACAATAATATGTTTAAATATCTCTTGACTTTGAAAGCAACTTGGTAAGCATGTAAAATATACAGAGACATATTAGGCAGAGTTGGAAATGAGCAAAATCTGTGCATAATAAAAAATGGTATTGCACTCTGGTAGGTGGATGGCTTTTGCACAATAACTTAATCAAAGAATTGAACACATAAACAGCTCAGAATCTGATGAAACTTGGTAAATATGATGCTACCTGTAGAAGGAAAGTTTGAATTTGAGGATAATTAAGTGTAGCACTTCTGAATTGCTTTACCGGTTAATTTTAATTGTTAAAAAGTGTTAAATTATTGGTAAAGGAAGGCAATATCTATAAATTAATTTGTTGCATGTATGGTGTGCCTAGACAATGAAAAATGTCTAATTGTATTAAAGGATATAGTCTTTCTCGTAGTGAATTTGAAGTAAAGGGTAAAGTCCCTTTCACAACATCCTAGAAATATTCAATTTTTACTGAGTAATAGTACAAATGTAGTGTTTCTTCTTGTTACTTTCCAGTATGCACAAGAAGAATTTTAAGTGAATTTGTTTGACAACATGCAGAGCCTCTTTAAGGCTTCTCCTGAAAGGGTACACTATATATATATACATTTACACAGAATAATAAGGTATATTTACAAAACAATCGATAATTAATTACTTATTGAGATTATTGAAATAGATGAACAATTTTCTGGAAAATATACTAATCATTTTCAAGTAAGATGAATCTATTAAAAAATTTCTCAACTTTAGATAATATAAAAGTATTAATTTCTGGTGATAGTTCATTATCTCCTGATGTAAGTAATTTAAGACTAATAAATCCTACTACATTATATATTTCACAAAAGTCGAGCCTGAAATCAGAATAATTTGGACAGAAAAATCAAAAATGATCAGCATCTTCATGCAGTGCTCCACAAGAACAACTGCCATCTTGAATAAGGTGGTCAGTAAATTTATTGACGTTTAAGTCACTTGCTTTGTGCGTGATTTGACAAAGTATTATATTAAGATTCCTAGGATTGCACTGTTTAAAGATCAGGGAAATATTATCTACCTTGGTACTTGAAGTAAGTGGTTTTAAGTGAATCACTTTGCTATTAAAAGATCTAAGTTAGTTTAGCAAACACTAAAATTTTCACCAGTCCTGGCATGAAATATGCTAGCCCTTGTTCTAAAGATCACTGATTGTATTATTGTAATGACATAAAAGAAATCTTAACTACAATATTATGTAGTTTGAAGTGCCATTAGACAATTACTCCTGACATCAATACTTACTGTCTTCTTCGCCTTCTTCAGTGTCATGTTTAGAATTAGGTTTCCCAGATAAGGCATGAACTGTAATGAAACAGAAGTATGTTATAAAGATGTTTTTTGGGGTGTAGTATTAATTGTAGGGTTCCTATGTTTTTAGTAAACCTTTCTAATTTTTTATGCGTTTTATACTACACCAGTTTTTAACAAGCACTACTTAAGTCGGGACATTGATTCCATACAACCAGTGCAAGAGAATAGGCTTCAAATCTTGAATCTCTCTAATGAAATGCCATATTATCTACACACAATCATTACAACTAAAATGGTGATCCCTTGCAAACAGATGCAGAGACACAAGCCTATGTATGATGTTCAAAATTGTGAACAATCGGGTAGCTATTAGTAAACACACTAGACTTATACCAGCAACCAGGCAATCAAGGCATACCCATCACCAGTCCTTCCAAATACCACATCGCAGAACCCAGGTCAGAAAACAATCCTTCTTTCCACGATCAATATCTGAGTGGAATAAAATCCTACCAGATATCATAGCCTCCTGTTCTACTACTGAATCTTTTAAATCTGCTCTCCTGTCACTGTACCCTCAAAATTTAATCTATATATCATTTTGGCTTTCTTGCAATCGACTGAATCTCTTTCTCCCTCATGACATTATCTTCAACTTGTTGAAATTGGTTATTATACCATTTAGAAGTAGAAGTAGAAATCGGCATTTGATTAATCTTTTTATGATATCTTGTTTCTACAGTGGGTTTTTTCATCCATATATATTACATATGTTCCAAAAATCGAGCATATGTTAATTCTCCCTAATAATCTAGTAACATAATTGTTAAAGTTACAAATATTATGCAAGATGTTGTTAATGATTGAAAACTTAATGATTTTTATGATTTACAAACAATAGTGTTATCAACTTATCGGTTTAATTTCAGGTAAGCCAATGCTCTCGCAGAAAACAACCTAGTGCGAAACGCCCAGTTAAAAAGGGTAAACTGTTTTCATTATTTTCCTTTCTTCATTCTTCAAATAAAATGCAGATCCTAATATCATGATATACAATCATAAACACTTACTCGCGACCAAACTTACTTTTCTTGTAAGGATTTACACTGAAATTTGTGTATAGAATTTGATGTCTCTGTTCTTTCATTATAGTTTCACAAAGAATGGCGTTCTGATGCACAAAATTTGGCGGATCTTTCTCAGATTTAGCCGCCATAGTGATGTATATCTATAGTCCGATCACTGTAACAAAAATATATTCCTAAATCGACAACACATTCATTACCGGAAGTGACGTTCAGTGTACATAGTTGCTACGGTTACACTTGTATTAATTTAATGAATATGATGAAAAAATAATAATTTGTTTGCATACATAAGCTATATTTTTATATATATCTTAAGAATACAATATTTATAAATTAATACAATTTATTAAATATTTTTATATTTTCCTCATAGCCGACGCCTTCCCATGATGCACTAAATCCTCCATATTGCTTTTATGGAAACTGGAAAAGGTGTAATATCGAACGTCGAATCGTTTGTTTATATTTTAACTTAATCTGTAATCTTTCTATAGGTGAGTGTAGTCGAACGATAAAAACCTTCTTTTAAAATCAATCTGTAATATAATAATCGAAATATACCCATTTTAACTACAGATAATTCAAGGAAAAGTAGGAATGTTCTACTGTTGTTTTTGTTTTGACAGTACGGATGATAGCTGACGTTGCTTGTTTTGGAAAATTACGTTGGCCATAAGGCTACCCCCTATCAATGCTATCTATACCCTCCTTCCTTCAAAGTGTTGAAGTTGTTAATGTTTATCAATTTATAACATTTTCTTATATATTGAGAAACAAACGTTTTTTTTAGATTACATGTTTCTCTGAAACCGTAAATTGCAGTTGAAGCAAATTTCGATTGGCCTGTCAGCTGGTGTCGGCTCTGCTAGTCATTCAGGATTGCTCGCATTGGCATAGATGACGACGATTATTAGAAAATATCAGTTTATTTTTTGTGTTTTTGAGTCTTCTTGAAGGTGTACTATATAAATCCTCAGTGCTCCAATTTGTCTGGTGCTGTTCTACCAAATATAGTAGTTGGTGCTATTGATTGAATAATCTCTGTCTGGTCAAGGGATTTTTCACCCTTGTTGCCAATGGTGCCCATTTCAATATACCCATATAATTAGTCCTCTAATATTGAACAAAATGGCAAACTCCAAAAGTTTGACTGTTCATGACTATACAATTACTACTCCTTAAAACACATAGAGTTGAAAAAGACTGAAACCAAACTTGAATTTCGAGTACCAAAAAAATCAGAATATTTCAGTTTATTTTTGGGAAAAAAAATGCTGAACTCAAACAAGTTAATCAATTTCCAGATTGAAATCTTCATGTGTTGAAAGCAACTTTTGGAAAGTAATATATACAAAAACATCTTATACAGGTTCTGAACATCTCTGTACCAAAATTAACAAAATAGTATCAAAATGCTGGTATATGGTATAAAACTACAACACTGGAGATTAATCGCCAATGCAATGACCAGGAATCTCATGACCAACGCTATCTGGTGACAGTCGCTATCTAGAGTTTTGAGGTTCTCTATAGGAATCTTGGTCTTGTTATTTCATTTTGACAGTCAAGCTACTACATATTTGCATGCAATGATGATTTTTGTAATTTTATTTTCTAAACTAGTTACAAAGAAATGAGTGATTCTTCTTGAACAACACAAACAAAATGGATCCAGAGTATGAAAAAAGGCTTTTCAGACAGCAAAATGGTCAGGTGTCGCCATATGCTTCCGTAAGTTGTGATGATAGAACTGTTAATCAAATATGTATGTAAATGTGTAAAAGATGTGGATTAATTAGGTTGCTTTACAGGCGTCAGCTGTAGGGAATTTCCCTTTAGCTCAGCGGTAGAGCATCAGGCTGGAGAGCCAATGGGCGCTGGTTCGAGCCCCAGCGGCGGCACTATCTTTATCAATTTTCCTCGCCCTATTACACATGTATATTTTGTAACATAAGTGAATGTAATTTATGCTTTAATTTTTTATTTTTTTTTATATGGTTCAGCATTCTATTACCAGGCGATTACCCTGTGAAATACTATGCCAAATATTAATGCACCCAGCACAGTACTCTATCCACCTGGTCACATTATAGTGACAACAGATATAAACCAGTTATTGTGCTTACCCTTCATACTTGACATCCAGCATGTAATACCAATGAACTTTTTTAAGGAGTTGGTAAGTCCTGATCCATTAAAACCCATATCTGTTATATATATAACAACAAGAAAATTAATGTTATTTTTCATTAATTTCAGCCTCTTTCATTGAGTCCGAGCCCAGTTGCATCTCCTAGCAAAGATAAATATGGAGACAGGTTCATTCCCAGTAGAGCCGGAGCAAGTTGGCACATTAATTTCAATATGTCCAAGGTAATTTAGCTATAGTTCAATTCTGATACATGCTCATATATAATAATTCAGTTACAAACAGTAATGTCTGACGGGAGAACAATCTAACGATTTATTTTATTTTAAAGTAATGATATTGTTGGAATTACCAATGTGTCTTCAATTTACTTTTCAGTGGATGCTTTGTATGCAAAGATTTTTCTTTTTGAAAAAGCTCCTAGTAATCCATTTTTGCATTCACCATGTGATTTTATATAATAATGATTCCGACCCCATAGCCTTTAAATTGTACTTGCATAATGGTGTGTGTTAAAATTGTCATTCAGGAGAGCCCTATACCCTCACCAACACCTAGTACAAAATCAAAAGAACAGACGACCAGTGACAACGTTAAGGATGGACTTGCATACTCTTGTCTTTTAAGAAATGAATTGCTGTCTGCAGGAATTGAAGATCTGAAGGTATATTTCAATTCGATCTATCACAACTTCTTGGAAAAGTTAAATTGTTGTCCTCTATTTCCTCCATTTGATATTATCCAGTCAGATTTAATGAGATTGAAATGTGGCTTTACCATTACCTTACAAGATATTTAGAAGTGAAAAACCTTGTCGGCGATCTAGACTGATGAACCACTTTTTTAATTCGTCTGACCTGAAGTGAAATCGAGCATTAATCGACAAAATGTTGCAACTTTCTTTGCAGGATCAACAACCAGATGAAAGAAGAATTCTGGTCCCAAAAGAGAGCAAAAATTTATTTCGGGTAGGTATATTTTAGAACATTGTTCAACAAATAACCACAAGTCTGTCCAAAATACATGTGCAGTTCCTTTTTGTGCATACACACCTGCCAATGATTAAAAATATGCCTAAGTAATCCTATCCTGCACAATCTTACACATTTAGCTGTTGCAGTTGGTCAAACTCGGATCTACACAGAGTCTTTTTAAAACTATTATATTAAACTGTTAACCTTTAGTTTGGAATCGTGGTATAAATTGTGATTTAAGATGTGACGGGCATCTTGTGGAATGCTTAAAGCATCTATCATGTGAATTCTTTATGACATGGCCTAATCACCCTACGTATACATGGTTCACCAATATTTCATAGTTAAATTTTGTATAAATGAAAATATGAATGTTTGTTACGTTAAGTTTCATTTACGTCTTTTTTTCATTGAAAGTATCATGTACCCAGAAGAAGTCTGGACTTCAGTGATTCATCACCATATTCATTATCACCAGTCGGTAGCAAAAGTCAGAAACTTCTGAGATCGCCACGCAAGGTAAATAGTTAATTTACAGAGGATAAATTACTGTTTTGTGGTAAAAGTACAAAGTGTACTTGGTCATCTATTTGAATTCAGAGATGTACTGTTTTATAAGTGTAATTTGACAATAAATTGATCTATAGTTGAACTTTTAATTTGCTTTAAAATGGTTTCCTTGTTTTACAATTCTTTGACTTGTCTTAATATTTCCATTAGAGAAGAACAAATGTAATGTTTATGACTGTTATGTAATCCACAGGCTGTCAGGAAGATATCAAAGATACCATTCAAAGTTCTAGATGCGCCAGAGTTACAGGACGACTTCTACCTAAATCTTGTCGACTGGTCATCACAGAATGTGTTGAGTGTGGGGTTAGGCACTTGTGTGTATCTATGGAGTGCATGTACTAGTCAGGTAATTTATAAGTATTGTGTATGGATATATTCAGTCGCACACAGTTTCACATAGCTATCAGAAAGTATTTTACAATATTGACTGAACTTAAAAAAGTCTTTTACATGAATTTAAACATCTTTTATTGTCTGATTTGGTACAAAGGGATATGGCACAAGTTATTACAACTTTCTGAACCATCTCCTATCAACAATACAATCGCAAGTGGTTCCATAGACAGAAAATTTTAAATCATTGAGAAGGCACCAATTCAAATTATAATCCAAAATCGATCAATTTTCCCTTTGTACTTTCTAACTCTGATTATTGATTACAAATTCTATAAACGATATAATGGGTGTATTATTGAAATCAAAATGTCAAATAACACAGTGTAAAGTATGCATTGAAAGGAAATAATTCTTATGAATTGTACTATATGATTGACAAAACAGCCTAGAAAGTGCTTGAAATCCATTCATTTTAAAAGAAAGAAATTTGATGCATATTTTACAACTCTGTCTATTAAATTATAAACTGATTATACAGTTTATCATCCATCATTTTACTTTCTCCGACTACAAGCTCATTATCAACTTTGATTTTAAACTGATTGCCCATCACAAATGGCAGGTTAACTGATTCATATATATGGACTGGTACAGTTACATCTCTACTTACCCATGTTTACCATGTGATTTTTAAGTATGGCTGACTTATTTTCTAGTTTGGTTGTATTCTTCTTTATAGGTAACCAGGCTCTGTGATCTATGCAATGATGGGGACACTGTAACATCGGTGTCGTGGTCAGAGAGGGTAAGTTTCTTGATGGAGAAGTGTTCTTCCTACATATTTTGAACATGGTGAAGCAAAAACTTGACCAAGAGCTCATGATTTACGAGAAATTTTGAATGAAATTTGATTTATTTCAATTTGAATTGATTTATTTCAAGTATCAATATATTTCTTTTAAGTAGAATTTACATCCTGTCATGGTGTAGACTTCTATTCAGTTTTAAACATTAATTTTTTTCACAGGGTCATTTGGTAGCTGTAGGGACACACAAGGGTTATGTGCAAATCTGGGATGTAGCTGCTACAAAGAAACTGAATACTCTGGAAGGTCATAGTGCTCGTGTTGGTAAGACTTGATCAGAAATGCATTATACTTATTATAAATTAATGTGTCTGTAGTTGGTAAAGTTTCCACAAAAACTGACTGACCATCAATATATCTGATAAAACATTTTATTGATCACATCCATCAGGAACAATGTGTTTGCAACTGAACATGTTCAGCAGTTGGTGAAATACGTGTGGTACTTGATTTTCGTATTTGTATATGGAGCACCTTTAAAATAGAAGCTCAAACTACTAGACCTTGAAATAATAGAAAAAAGACAAATACAATATTAACATCCTAAATACAAGGTATCTATAGCACGTTTTGTCGAGAAATTGGCAAAAAAACTAGGTATGTTTGACCTGTGCTTCTAATACTTGGACCATAAAAGCACATTTACAATGATAAACAAGTGACTAGTTAAAGCATTCGCTACATGATGGGGAATTTGTTGTTAACTTATTTTCGGGTTAAATAGGAGCCCTTGCCTGGAACACAGATGTGCTCTCATCAGGAAGTAGAGACAGGCTGATTCTTCAAAGAGACATACGAACACCTAGCTTAGTACCCGAACGCAAATTGAGTGGTCATAGACAGGAAGTTTGTGGACTGAAATGGTCACCAGATCACCAACATTTAGCCTCAGGAGGCAATGACAATAAGTTGTATGTGTGGAACATGAACAGTACCAGTCCTGTGCAGACCTACAATGAACATTTGGCAGCAGTGAAAGCTATCGCCTGGTCCCCCCACCAACATGGTCTGTTAGCCAGTGGTGGGGGGACTGCTGACCGCTGTATTCGCTTCTGGAATACATTGACTGGTCAGCCGCTTCAGTGTGTAGATACAGGATCACAAGTGTGCAATCTAGCCTGGTCAAAACATTCAAATGAATTGGTGAGTATTTTGCTCTTGGTCAGCATTGCTTTTTGTTTCCCTGTTTATAAAGTTGTAGTTTCAACTGATGATATCTACTACACTACTTTTATCAATAAATGAGACACAATAGTTTACTATCTGCTAAATATTGAAGCAAGTTTGTCAATATTATACCTGTGATTGGAATTCCATTATACTTGTTATAACTTTTTGACATTTAGCCATTTGGGCTATTTAATTTGGTAAGGGGGGTAACTCTGGTAATGATACGCTAGCTGATGAAATTTTGTATCATTGTTATCTTATGTATTAAGTTTTTTATCTCACTTTCTATTTCCAGGTCAGTACACATGGTTATTCACAGAATCAGATACTTGTTTGGAAGTATCCATCGTTAGTTCAGATAGCCAAACTAACAGGACACACATACAGAGTACTCTATCTGGTAAGTACATATGTATACAGGGTACTCTATCTGGTAAGTATCATACAGGGTACTCTATATGGTAAATATTAACAGGACACACATACAGAGTACTCTATCTGGTAAGTACATACGTATACAGGGTGCTCTATCTGGTAAGTATCATACAGGGTACTCTATCTGGTAAGTATTTACAGGTCGCACATACAGGGTACTCTATCTGGTAAATACTAACAGGACACACATACATAGTACTCTATCTGGTAAATATTAACAGGACACACATACATAGTACTCTATCTGGTAAGTACATACGTATACAGGGTACTCTGTCTGGTAAGTATCATACAGGGTACTCTATCTGGTAAGTATCATACAGGGTACTCTATCTGGTAAGTACATACGTATACAGGGTACTCTATCTCGTAAGTATCATACAGGGTACTCTATCTGGTAAATATTAACAGGACACACATACACAGTACTCTATCTCGTAAGTATTTACAGGTCACACATACAGGGTACTGGGTACTCTATCTGGTAAGTACATACGTATACAGCGTACTCTATCTCGTAAGTATCATACAGGGTACTCTATCTGGTAAGTACATACGTATCCAGGGTACTCTATCTCGTAAGTATCATACAGGGTCCTCTATCTGGTAAATATTAACAGGACACACATACATAGTACTCTATCTGGTAAGTACATACGTATACAGGGTACTCTGTCTGGTAAGTATCATACAGGGTACTCTATCTGGTAGGTACATACGTATACAGGGTACTCTATCTCGTAAGTATCATACAGGGTCCTCTATCTGGTAAATATTAACAGGACACACATACAGGGAACTCTATCTCGTAAGTATTAACAGGACACACATACAGGGTACTATATCTGGTAAGTATTAACAGGACACACATACAGGGTAATCTATCTGGTTAGTATTTACAGGTCACACATACAGGGTACTCTATCTGGTGAGTATTTACAGATCACACATACAGGGTACTCTATCTGGTAAGTATTTACATGTCACACATACAGGGTACTCTATCTGGTAAGTATTAACGGGACACATATACAGGGTTCTCTATCTGGTAAGTTTTTACAGGACACACATACAGGGTACTCTATCTGATAAGTATTTACAGGTCACACATACAGGGTACTCTATCTGGTAAATACTAACAGGACACACATACATAGTACTCTATCTGGTAAATATTAACAGGACACACATTCAGGGTACGCTATCTCGTAAGTATTAACAGGACACACATACAGGGTACTATATCTGGTAAGTATTAACAGGACACACATACAGGGTACTATATCTGGTAAGTATTAACAGGACACACATACAGGGTACTCTATCTCGTAAGTATTAACAGGACACACATACAGGGTACTCTATCTCGTAAGTATTAACAGGACACACATACAGGGTACTATATCTGGTAAGTATTAACAGGACACACATACAGGGTAATCTATCTGGTTAGTATTTACAGGTCACACATACAGGGTACTCTATCTGGTGAGTATTTACAGGTCACACATACAGGGTACTCTATCTGGTAAATACTAACAGGACACACATACAGGGTACTCTATCTGGTAGGTATTTACAGGTCACACATACAGGGTACTCTATCTGGTGAGTATTTACAGATCACACATACAGGGTACTCTATCTGGTAAGTATTAACAGGACACACATACAGGGTAATCTATCTGGTTAGTATTTACAGGTCACACATACAGGGTACTCTATCTGGTGAGTATTTACAGATCACACATACAGGGTACTCTATCTGGTAAGTATTTACAGGTTACACATACAGGGTACTCTATCTGGTAAGTATTTACATGTCACACATACAGGGTACTCTATCTGGTAAGTATTAACGGGACACATATACAGGGTTCTCTATCTGGTAAGTTTTTACAGGACACACATACAGGGTACTCTATCTGGTAGGTATTTACAGGTCACACATACAGGGTACTCTATCTGGTAATTATTTACAGGACACACATACAGGGTACTCTATCTGGTAAGTATTAACAGGACACATATACAGGGTTCTCTATCTGGTAAGTTTTTACAGGACACACATACAGGGTACTCTATCTGGTAAGTATTTACAGGACACACATACAGGGTACTCTATCTGGTAAGTATTTACAGGTCACACATACAGGGTACTCTATCTGGTAAGTATTAACAGGACACATATACAGGGTACTCTATCTGGTAAATACTAACAGGACACATATGCAGGGTACTCTATCTGGTAAGTATTTATAGGTCACACATACAGGTTACTCTATCTGGTAAATACTAACAGGACACACATACAGCGTACTCTATGTGGTAAATACTAACAGGACACACATACAGCGTACTCTATCTGGTAAATATTAACAGGACACACATACAGGCTACTCTATCTGGTAAGTACATACGTATACAGGGTACTCTATCTGGGAAGTATTTATAGGTCACACATACAGGGTACTCTATCTGGTAAATATTAACAGGACACACATACAGGGTACTCTATCTGGTAAGTACATACGTATACAGGGTACTCTATCTGGTAAGTATTTATAGGTCACACATACAGCGTACTCTATCTGGTAAATATTTACAGGTCACACATACAGGGTACTCTATCTGGTAAGTATTAACAGGACACACATACAGGGTACTCTATCTGGTAAGTATTTACAGGATACACAAGATACCAGATATGGGCTTGGTTATTTGGTATACAAGTTGTTAATGTTAATTTTCAAAAGGGAATTTTGAGAAACATATAATAATAATATTTATATATTTTTTGTAAGTATTGTATATGTATATGGTACTGGATTTTGGTTATGATGGCAGGAATATTCACATTATACTGAATGCCTTTGTCATGTTTCAATATTGATATCTTAATAGTACAGTTGTAGATTAACCAATTATGAATCAAAATGTAGGTATAGTATTTCTTTACACAATCAGGAGTGTACAGGATCTCCAGATCAAGGTCCATCCAGGCTGGTAAATTTGATATCAAGAGTTGTCCAAAAAAAATCAATACTTTTCATCCAATTATATGTTTTATATAGTGTTTACTGGTACTCTTACACTTAATCATACAACACTTCAGCTTGAACAAAAGTGTGACCTGGAATTGGAATGAAAGCAAAGCTTTTGGCCAATTTGTTTAGTTGGTTCTAGAAATAAACTGTGTGGTGGGCACAAAAATGTGATAAAAGAACATGTTAACGCACCACATTTCTCCAGTAAACTGTCCATGTGAAAGACAGGGAGGATGTTACATTATTTTCTGGTTTGTAAGAATAAGTTATTTCATTGAACAGATATGTAGTCCTGGCTCATTTTGTAAAATTGCTGCCTCGGTAACACTTGTATGACACAACTTGTACTGTCTATCGCTTGAATGCTAATAAGGTGACTAGAGAAATTTTTGAAGTGAGATCGAAAATTTACCCATTAAAATCATCATGATGCATATAAAATGTATCTGATACGAGGTTGTTTGGAATGATCATGAACTAATTCATCCAGTTTTTCTGACTAATTGATCATGATTTTCTTTGATCAGTCATGGTTTGACTATAACATAAATACTTCCACAAGTTTTTGAGATATGGAGCACACCTAGTTTCTCAAAAGAACAATTTACCTTATAGTTTTTGCCAAACTGCACTATAATAACACTTTGTATATAGTTTGAAAAAAGATCTACCACAAGTTTTCCATTTTAGTGAATACTTATATTTTATTTCTTTTTTAATTATGCGATTATGATTAATCAATGATCAGTCATTGATTGTTTTATAATTGCCAAAGTTAATTTGATATATTACTGCGTAATTAAGTGTCTGGTCTCTCAAACATAACATAAAATATTTCACATGAAAAAACCCACAGTTTTTAGGATCAAAAATATGTTCTGTTTGATGGGATTTTTAGATGCATTTACGCACTAACATTTGTTATTTTCTGCCTGTGAAGTGCACCAACGACTCCAGCTGAGATGAAAATCTGTAGCTTGTCAATTGCCTGCATCATATGTGATTTATCATTTTAAACAAACATGTGTGTGTATATCACTGAACTGTCTTGCCATTAGTAGTCCTCTTACTGGCTAATCTATGTAGCCCATCTCATTTATTGAGGGAGCTATAGGACACATGTCTAGAATGGTGCACTTCATGCCTTGTTGTAAATAGCAAGGTGAATTGGACCACTGTATGGGGTATCCACACCCCAAACTCGATGATTATGTGTGAAGGTGATCATGAATTGGACCACTGTATGGGGTATTTACATACCTTACTCTATGTTTATGTATGAAGATGAACTAAACCAATATGTAGTTTGTATTCTGTATCACACATCGTATATTTAAAGGTGTACTTGACCACTATAACAGGTATCTCATACAACACACTATGTGTAAAAGTGTAATTGTCCCCAGTACTGTGAGGTGATAACAGTGTCCCTTGTAGTGTGTGGTGATAACATTGTCCCTTGTAGTGTGTGGTGATAACATTGTCCCTTGTAGTGTGTGGTGATAACAGTGTCCCTTGTAGTGTGTGGTGATAACGGTGTCCGTTGTAGTGTGTGGTGATAACGGTGTCACAAGTACTGTGTGGTGATAACAGTGTCCCTTGTAGTGTGTGGTGATAACGGTGTCCCTTGTACTGTGTGGTGATAACAGTGTCCCTTGTAGTGTGTGGTGATAACGGTGTCCCTTGTACTGTGTGGTGATAACAGTGTCCCTTGTAGTGTGTGGTGATAACGGTGTCCCTTGTACTGTGTGGTGATAACAGTGTCCCTTGTAGTGTGTGGTGATAACGGTGTCCCTTGTACTGTGTGGTGATAACAGTGTCCCTTGTAGTGTGTGGTGATAACGGTGTCCCTTGTACTGTGTGGTGATAACAGTGTCCCTTGTAGTGTGTGGTGATAACGGTGTCCCTTGTACTGTGT